AATTTGAAACTGATTTTGTAGCCCAAGAATATTTCGTGTTGTTAAATGAAAAATCTGTATCTATAGGAGCTTATTATTGGCTATATTTTTGGTTACGTATTTCGAATACTTAGCAAAAAAATCGAATGCGAGATCTGTGTATCAAGCTTAATTTCAAACACAAAATTCGATTTCCATAAATTTATTGTTATAAAAGATATGGGCGGGTTATATTTTTCGACTAAAGACGTTTTTGATGTATGTAAAGCTACAGAAATATTCATTCGAAAACGAATAAACGAAAATGATGGAAAAGGTGTATCTGTAAAGCACAATATTGATTTCATCAAAACTAAAGTATTAAAAGTATTCTTGAACTCGAATATATTTGAAATCACAATAATTAGATTTATACAATAAAACAATCATGCCTATTCCCTATTATTATATCATAATACATTTCAAACTTAGTAACCTTCAACATTATCGATACTTTGATGTCGAAACAGGAACATTAAACTTAAAAAAAAACCGATACTAAAACCGATTATTTATTATCTATATTATATATTACCTTATATTTATTAGCGTCACCTAATGGGGAATAGCCGAAATGTTTTCCATATAAAATATTCAGCGTAGTGTTGCTATATTTCGCTAGAGGGTATCACACACGCACGAGCTCAGTTTTTGTATGCAAACGTTCCTAATGTCCGCTCTATTGTGTATATATATATTTAAATCTCTTTGACGTCATTATACCAATGATTTCAAAGGGAAGGATAGGCCCATCTAAATATTTTAGTCATAACTTTTTCATACAAGAAGAAGTAGCGCATCTGTCATAATACAAACGTCATATCGAAACACGACGTAACCAGGGTCGGATTTCGTAGTATAATTATCCTAATTGTACCATTATTTTATAGTTTGTAGTACATAGTATCGTAATAATACTAAGCGAAAATACCATAATTTTACCTAAAGGTCGACTTGTATTGTTATTGGGTCCTTTTAGATTTTAAAATTAACGCTACGTAATCGAGAATTTCTGTATTGTACACGAGTACCGCGTTTTTTTTTAATAAAATTAGAATTAGGTCCCTTTCTGGTCAATCGATGCTCGATCCTTGATACAACTATAATGATTCGCTACCACAAAAAAACTCTATATTTTAATTGTTCTAGGTTCGAAAACAGAATTTCAAAATATTTTATAAATGAGATTTTCAGATTCAATTAAGCAGATATGGTTTCTTTTTTACTCTTTTCGTTTTACCCTTATTGAATATAAAATATATTAGGTACCAATATTCCAAATTTAACTTACACTAAGTTCTTTAGACAAAAATTAACAAGAAATAAAAATAAAACCGTCAAAAACCGAAACGTATAGACAAACTAGACGCGTGACGCCAAAATCCCGGTACATGGGAAAAAAGAAACATGAAACGTCAAACGTGATATAATTTTTTTTTAAATAGTATTATTTTATTTTCCCAATACAATATTTTGAGGGTCTGAATTCAACCCTGGCCTAATCTTGGTAACATAACTAAAGTAACTGTAAAATAAAACTTTAAAAATGCGTTTATATAATAATTTAATTGTAACAAAATTAATATAAGATTATTTACCGCTGATACGATATCCCATGTTTTTTTTAAATCTTCGTATCTTAATTTTTGCATTGTTTTAACACGAAACTAGACATATTTGTGACAGGCAAATTTGTCCTGCGCGCACCACAGTCGACCGATTCGCGTTGGCTCTAAACTGTAATTTTAGGGCCAACGCAATGGTCCGTTTTAGTTGTTCGGTCGGCCCGGTCCTTACGCTATATATAAGTCAATGCATTATACTCGTATAAGTAGTTTTCTACAAGACTTGACGATCGTAGAATGTCAAATTGGCTAATTAAAAAGATAGAAACTCTGTGTTGACTTACCCCGCTGAGCAAGAACCGCGGGACGCGGTCGGTGAAAGTAGGAGGTGTAGGTAATCATCGATAAACTTCTGCGCGTATCTTCTGTAGTGATTATCGTACAATCTTGCTATGGAGTAATATGATTGAATTTGAATATCTGCCTTTGTTTAGCGGAAGAGAGTCATATGAGCTATTTACAACTTATAACTGAAGTACCTAAGAAAATTTAAATATTTGGTAAATCTCAAAAGTGCACGACACGTGAGCGATTCATTTAATTTATATGAAAACAATAAATTGTATTCCTGACTTTTAAAATATATTATTTACGTGTTTTAAATTTGGCGCTATATTATTTTAACAGGTAGCTTCATCTACACGGAAAATAATTAATAATATTTACTAAAATAAATCGATAACGCAAAGTATAAAATCGATACAGGCCGTATGGTATGGTCCTTTGTCTATCAAGGGCTAAAAATATGAAAACGGCTTCTTTTTAATAGCAATAACACTTATAAAAGATGAAAATCATTTTATTAACAAACTACGCATACTAGGCTATTGATATGAAGTAGAGAACCAGTTGATGTAATTGTGAAGCTAATAAAAAACAAACTCGGTCTCGATACGTAAATTTTTTCGGGTGTTATCGTGACCACACACAAAATCAATATCCAGACGTCTATGTAAAATCTTTTTCAAAGTAGCAATAAAAATGATTTTTTTTGAAAATATAAAATGGATTGATTAGTGTTTTCTTGATATACGGCTACTCATACTATCGTATAAGTGCAATATGGTTATGATAGAGGCATTTAAAGAACACCAAATTGCTTCAATTTGACGTGTCGAGAGTAAAGCAATACTTAATAACGTTTCACGTCATGAGACGTACAATAAAGAAGTATTATAATATCTTAACCCCCTCTGTATATTTACGAAAATGTATTCAAACCTTTAAAAGCGAACGTACTTATATTATTATAACTTGAAAAACAAATAGCATCCACATATAATTCGCACATAGAAACAATAGATTTGTGACGGCTGCCGGCTAGTTGCCGCTTGATTGACCTTAATTATCAAGTGATGACTGTTGACACTTATCACTGTAACTATTATTATTGGTCCCCATTAACGGTGTTATAATACCGTCCGACCTACTGATCTGAATTTCTTAGTATATAAAATTTATTTGAAAGAGCCATGGTAGCTCAGGAGGTGAAGCCGTCCGTCGTGTGTTTCACAGTAAACAAGCAACTGCGGTTCGATTCGCGTCGGCACTAATTAAAGCCAAGGATATCGTGTTACACGTTTTAATGTTCTGATTTTAAGGGTTGCCCTACTCCGCCGGAATAGAGCAAAAGTAAACATGAACAAATTAGAAAAAACATGATCTTTAAATCGGTTAAAAGGACTCCTATAAATAGGGAAAGTGCTACACCTGGTAAACCGATATATTGCTCATCGCCAGCTCCTATTGTTATGTTAACGTAAGAGGCAACAGAAAGAAACTGAAACAGATGATGGACAGCAGCATCTTCCTGGAAACAACCCAAAATAATAAAAAACTTGGTTGGTTGAGGATGCATCAAGTGCAAGTATTAGATTTTTCTCTTTGTTAAGTACCAACAGTCAAAATCTACACAGCAAAAAAATAAATATATATATATATATATATATATATATATATATATATATATATATATATATATATATATATATAAGCAACTGACCGACTCATCACGATAACTATACACCCAAAATTGATTTGATGTTTGATTTGACGTTTGAAATTTAGTATAGTTACTCATTTCTCAACGAAGACGCTCTTTTTCCTTATATTTTATATCTACGTTATTATCGTGTATTATCGTCCAGCGCCCAGCAAAGCGAGCGGGTATCAACTAAAGCGTATTATAACATCATACATTCATCATTATAAATGCAACGGCTCCAATATTTAGCTCACAAGAAGAGGTGGTTATAGATCAAATAGTATGTATTTTTCTTTTAAGGGAATCACCGGAAACTTATACGTTGTCGGGTGAAAAGTAGAAACACTATTTAAATTAGAATTAGATCTGGAATACCCAGACCAAGAGGAACATTCTTAAATTTGCAAGGCTGTAAAAATAAAGTTCTTCCTTAAATTATTTATAAGTTAATGATAATGATCTTCGTTTCCTATACTAACTATCTATAAGTCTTTATTTCCATTACACACACATATATACAATACTTACTACAATTAATAGATATAAAAGTATATATACATATACATATACCCTGCATACAAATAATCCTTTATTTTACAATAACCGGCCAAATTTGCAGAGAAGGTTCAGAATAACTAATATGGGCAAATGTTAAAAAAATCTTAAACATTCTTTTTATATTTTAAGTTCAAAATGCGTGGTAATCCATTATTTTAACTGATTTTACAGCGCACGCACACATTCATAAGAGTCGATCCTGTCGATCGGTAATAAATTATATCCCATAAATTAATCATATTCAATTTGGGATAATTTCAAATAAAAGCAGAATCCTTATTTAACTCGTATTTTCAAAAACTGGAATAACGTATATCATTATTTATAATATAAAAAAACTTAAGTTCAAATATATAATTTATATATTTGAACTTAAGTTTAAAAATTGGACACTTTTTGAAAAATAACTCTGTATAAATGGCAGATACTGCTCGATATCAAAAACGTTTCCTCGTTAAGTAGCTATATTCACGAGCTAAGTAATTTTTAATATTAAATACACAACTGGCGAGAAATGGAAATCGAAACATATACGTATAAATACATTTTTGAAAAAAAAAGACTATAGAAAATTATCCATAACTCTTAGATTACACTTATTGTTACATAACATTAGATAGCTCTACCTCTCTGCTAGCATTTAAGCACATGCTTCAAATTATAGATTTTTCAACATGTGATAAACGGTGTTGGCGTCAAACGTATGTATATATTATTTATATATCTTACTATATAATATATTGTTTCACTAATTGTTAAACGAAATGAATAATTAAAAAAATAAAGTACTTATATGGCAGCAACAATTAAAAGGGCTACCCATTGGGGCCGGACCTCAGCATGCGTCTTCGCTCCCGTACGTTTGCTGCAGCGCGCTGAACACGATATGGAGAGCCTCCGCATTGGTAGTCCGGCTCCACTGCTGACTCCAACAAAGCATCTGAACACAAAAATAATAAATAAATACATTAATTAGTAGCATATATTTTTAACGAAACAAAGAAATAATAAGTTTAAATTAAATTCTTTTTTATGCTAAAGGTCATAAACGAGCATACAGTCCATGTGATGGTAAGTGGATAATGTGGCCCATATACATATACTGGATGATTTTTTTATCGTCTGGAAAAAATGGGATGTAACAAGTGAACGGAATAGAGCCTATGGCGCTGATATTTTTTTATATTATTAACATATTATGAAATTGATCTATCAATAAATACTACTATAATAATTGGGTGCGTATTATGTTAATTTCGATAGTTTGTAATTGATTTATTTATTTAGTTCAAAATTGTTTTTACGAAATCGGAATTTTATTTCCAATGAGTGGAATTTATTAATAGTTCAATGTCATAATATGTAAATGTAAAAGTAAAAAATTGTCAATTTTTCAGACGGTAAAAAATGATCCAGTATATCTATTTTCGATTAATAGTTAAAATGCAGATGGGTTGTCATTCCTGAAACTTAAGATGGAATGCCTCGTTTGCAGTAAAAAGTGTCTACGATTATCTACGCTCACCACACGAAACACAGCAGCATTAAGGTGCTATTATTCTCACTAGTATTCTGAGTATTAGGACGAGCAAGCGTGCCCTAGTGCTAGGGTATATGCAGGTTTCCTCGCGATGTTTCCTTCGACTTCGAGCACGTGGTAAACCGCCACTTAAAATTGCAACTAACAAATTGATGCCGGCGAAGATCAAAGACTGTTCGTGTACTGTGTTTTACTGCGAGCGCTTAATTCTACATAGCCTGAACCACGGCTAACAATGTGCCCTAACCTGTTTAAACAATATAGCTTTGAACATTTGTATTTATTTAATGCGAAGTTATATACTTTACACCATTGAAAAATAATTATTAAAGCTTAACCCAAAAAAATTGGACACTATTGAAAAACGAGAATATAACAAAAGCTAACAAACCCAAGAAATATATTATAATTATTACTGTTAATTTGACAACAAAGTATTTTTATAAATAATATTGTCTGTGAAATTTGTTATCTTTTTTGGATGACTGATTGTCTTTAATGGGTGTAAAAAGAGTGTTCTAGGCAATTTATAATCATACTAGATGTTCCCCGAGATTTTGCCCGCGTGTAATTGTTACAATTTTTTTGCGCGATACCCTAATTATTTTTCTAAAATAAAAGTAGTTTAAGTTACTCCTTATAATATTAGCTATCTGCTAATGAAAGTCCCGTCAAGATCGATCCAGCTATTTCGAAGTCTAATATCCGGCAACAAGCAAAAAAAAAATACAAAAAGTAATAGCTGCAGTATACCGAATAATTATGAATTCGTATGAAAGTCATTCATTCGTACCTGAGTGTAGTTGTCTGGTATGCTGGTGTACATAGGCTGCTAGAGGTAATTGTAGTCTGCCTCTAGCTGCAGCATACACGCACGACGGAAGCTCGGGGGTCACAGATCCGCCCTCGTCGTCAGACCCGTCCACGTAAGCAAACTTCAGGCTACCGTAATCTAAACGCCGTCCATCACTAGGAAATAAATCATAGCACTTTAAGACATCATAAAGCTCATTCATACATCATTGAGGATAAGTTGTATATTTGGACAAACTGTAAGATATTTTCTATTGAGTATACTGCTAATATATACCTACTGACAAATGATAGCAAATGATAATAATATTCCTGTCTAAAGATTAAACACTTAACCGATTTCGTTTGGCTAACAGCCCGCGAAAAACTTAATAATATACCTCGGTAACGAGATAATACTAAACAAAACAAAATAATAATAATAATAATAATACTTTATTTTCAACACTTGCATAACTATCACATTTATAAATAACTATTCTATGATCTATACCTAGTTCACAAAGAATGATGGAACACCTGTCACAGGTATTGACTGTGTCTGAACTAGATAAATACGAGTACCTAATAAAAAAATATATATATATATATATATATATATATATATATATATATATATATATATATCTGTATTTCAGATCGCAATGCTCTTCCCTATTACATATTAACATACTAACATAAGTATAACTTAAATAGAAGGTATACAACAGATAAAACGTGAATCTTAAACATAACAAATAGTTTTTTGATATAAAGAAACATGGATAATGTGTGTTAATATGTATCTCTTTGTGTATAAAATGTTGAATGCAAGAGTGTGTGTAAGAGGTTGAGTAACATTAACTAGTAGTAAGTAATGCTTCAGTTTCTTCAAAGTTTAACTGATGAAGAAATTCAAATAATTTAATTTTGCATTTCTTTTTATTTAAAGAGTACAATTCAGTCTTTTTATTGATTTTATTATAAAGAAGTGGTCCAAGGTAATAAAAATATTTATTAACGAAAGAATGACTAGAAATAGGTCTATTTTTGCAAACTTTATCTTTTCTTCGTTTAGATAACAAGAAATCTTTATTATAAGTTAATCACGAATGTTGTTTTAACACTATGTTTAGAATAAATAGTTGACGAACAGTGAGTACTCCAAAGGATTGATATAACTGAAGCGTAGGGGAAAGTAAGGGTTTAAATGTGTATACGTTAAGGATTGCACTTTGTGCTATTTCAAAGGGTTTTAAGATCGATTTTGATGCACCTCCCCACACAGTAATACAATAGTTCAGGATTGATTGAGCAAGAGCTAAGTATACTTGTTTCAGCAATTTAGGATGCGCCACATGTCGAAGATTTTTGAAAAAAAAAAGCTTAGTTTTCTTAGTTTGGCACAAACCATAAGTATATGTTCCCCAAAAGGTTAAATTTTGGTCTAATATTACCCCCAAATATTTTATGGAAGCAGTTTTAGTGATGGAAAGACATGAACAGAAGTTATTATTACAGCAACTGTGAGCTATTAGTGAAAGAGACGACGTCGGTTGGGTAGAGTTTCGCATACTAAAGGAGATAAAATGTGACTTCTCAACATTAAGGGTAAGAGAATACTGTTGTAGCCAATAGTTTATTAACTAAATTTATATTAGATAGTATATTAATTAAAACAATATGTGACATCTAATGTGTCGCTCATTAGTGCGAGTTTATCGTAGCGGCTTTGATATTATCCATTCAAGTGGCTTTCAAATTACGTCATTGTTAGCAACGGGGAGCAGCATCAAAGGTGAGAGACATCTGGAACTGCATTCACCAACCCACTCGCCAAGCGTAAAGATTATGTTAAATTAACCTTTTAACTTTTACAGGCTGATGTAAAAGCCTGTGTATGTTGTGATTGTCTTAAGGGGCGACTACGGAAAATGCAAGATTTTTTTTAAAAGTTCAAGAATGTGTCCCATAGATGGCGGTATAACTATCTCGTTTACTCCAGACGGGTGCCAGTCTACGACCAGCCTGATAATTATGACAAATGTTCCATAAAACGGGATTACGGCCAGCAATAGACTTTTCACGCCGATGGAGAATAATAAAAAGAAAAACATGTCAGTTGCCGATGACGCATCCATTCAAAAGGCCAGTAGTGGATTAAAAAGGCAGTTAAAAAAACTATACATATAACCTATATCTATACATAAAATAAAAGTAGTAAAAGAGCTTAAGTTTATTATTAAATTTTTAATGGACGACACAAAAAATTTTTAATTTGATTTTTGGCAATATTTATACGTGGTAGAGCCACTATGCAGCTATATTATAGTTGCAGCACGAATGGGTCGGCTCGACCGGGGAAAGACCACGCTCTCACAGAATACCAGCGTAAAATAGCGATGCTGTGTTTCGTATGGTGAGTGTAGAGAACCGGATACCCGTTTTACTGGAATCGAGGCATTCTATCTTAGTCCTCAGGGGTGACAATGCATCTGCATTTTGATTCTTAATCGAGGTTAAATGTAAATGTCTGTGAGCCGCGGCATCCACTTACTATCAGGTGGACTGTGTGCTCGTTTTTCACCCTTATCCTATAAAAAAACGGACGCAGTTGGTATTAATCAATTTATCTGTCATGTGGTTTTAATAAAATTCGCTATATTGAACTTTTTTAAGGTTCCGTTCCTATGCTTTTGGTTTGTACCAGTTTTAATTTTTTTTTCTAAGCAGCAGTTAGTGTCTCGAAATACTACACATTTGGAGCAGGATTTAATGTAAAAATTAGTGTAATTGAAGATTTTGCAACAATAAAAGAAAATAAGGCAGTGTAGTAAAAAGACAGTTGCCTTATTTCTTGGATAAACAGATTATATCCACAATATTTTCTGTTGGGATTCAAAAACAAACGTTAGTTTATTGGTACCGGCGCGTGTTCTCAAATACTTCTTCATGCCAACATTTGTGCTGAAGAATCTTGTGGAGACAAATTGTATATGTACGACCTACGTATACTTCTATGACACAAACACAAACTGTTTTGAGCGTTCTGTTCGCATATTAGTGGGTTCCAAACCTTTCTTTTTTTTTAAATTAAGAATAAATGAAATTGTGAAATTGCGGTGTAGTCGGTATGAAATTTATATCAACTTGTCATGATGAGAGAAATTATGTATCTAGTTATCTAGTTTTTGACGACTACTTATTATTTTCATAAGCTTCACTTGCCATTACTAGTTTTTTTTTTCAGTTGTTGCTAATGTTTTGTCAAAGATGTAGATATAAATAAAGCCTTTTTAATTTTAAATTAAATTAAGTACAAATTTTTTTACATTTTCAACCGACTTTAAAAAAAGAAGAGAACACAGTCCCAAAAATGACAACCAAATTATTTTTATATTTTTGAGGGGGGGGGCTTTGTCCAAAAAAAAGACACAATATTTTTTTTTTTATATAAGATGTTTCTTTGATCATACTAAAATTTCAACCTATGCTTAAAATCATCAAATCCTCCCAAATCATGAGTTCGCTTGATTCGTTTCTTTTTATCTTTTTGTTATTAGTGGCACGAACGGATTATATTCTGTAAACAATGAAGAAAAAGAGAGTCGAAATGAAAAGAGAGACTGTTTTCTTCGGAAAAAAGATGTCGATTGTACGTTAATGGTTTTGAAGCTCCTGTGCATATTTTTGTGAAATATAAATGCTTCTGTCTGCGCAGGAGTTTTTATATTCTCTATAGAACTGGAAAGTTGTAATACGGCTTTTGCAGTGTTGGAGTTCAATAAAACTAATTTTATTTAGGGCGCGGGTTTGCGGGCGTTGCGTGCAGCGTTGGTCAATAGAAGCGTTCGGAAACCAGTGACGTGCGAACAGAACGGAAATCCTTAGCCTCAACACAGCTCATATATTGTGTTATAAAAACATACGTAACACGTATATGCATTTTGTCTGATTTGTGCAGTTTCTTTAGCAACCCCGTACAACTGTTGGTAGAAAGAAGCATTTGAGAAAACGCGCTGCCGGCGGTAACAAACAGGCTTTGCCGGCACCAATGGAATTGTTAGTTGTAATTTTAGTGTGAAGGTGAAAAGACCTGCATGTCAGAGAAATTAAATTCAATCGTTTGTGTGGTCTAAGCTTGAACTCTTCTCTTTATTCTGCTACATATAAATTCGCGATCATGGTAGTCTGGTAACAAAATAATTAACTCGCGAGCCCTGAGTCACATGAAGCTGTAAGAGCCGCTTAGGCTAACAGCACAAACAACGATGAGTAGTGACGCAAGTAACAACGATAAGTAGTGACGCAAGTAACAACGATACTTCAGCCACTGGAGCGTAGCTCTCTAAACTCTATTCTAATATATTACATAAAAAATCACTTTTTTTGCTTCGATTCTTCTATGACACTTAGTTTGAGCTGTCAAAACCATCCACATCATCTGGATGCTTGGCGGTCCACCACTGTACGTTTCAGAAGGAGTTTTCTTCCGCGATTTTTCCGGCCCGATACGACCTAGGGACCTTCAAGATAAGAGCTTACTCCTTTCTAAAGGGCCGGCAACGCACCTGCAGTACCCCTGGTGTTGCGGTTGATCATGGGCGGCGGTAGTCACTTAACATCAGGTGAGCCGCATGCTCATTTGCCCCCTCTTCTATAAAAAAAATGACACTCATGGGACGAGGAGAAAAAAATAACTAACTTAGTACTTATTTTCAATGAAATATTTTTGGAAAACGAATGTGGTAACACAGAATAAATAAGAGTACCTACTATGTAGTGGTAACAAGAATATATGTAGAAGCTAGATATCTGAAAGCGTGGTTTCTGGATAATTAAGTATACCCACAGGACGAGGTGAGACGCGAAACTGCTTAAGCTGTGTCCACATCCGCAAGCTGCATCCGGCTAGCCTCATGATGCTGGGGCGGTATAACTTTTATAGTATAACTAATAATGTTAAATATAAGGTAAAAATTTACAGCCAAGTGTATTACGTGGAGTTTACTAACTAGTTTTATGTAATATTTATTATTAAGTTTAAACTTAGAATATAATATTAATATGTAGATACATAGTGAGTAAGCAGGTGATGTATTCGCCAACAAACTGCCTTGCAATTTGGCAGAATTAGAATAAGATATTATATAAGCAACTGTATTTTATTTTTTAATAGAATAAATTAATTTAAGAAAAGCGATGGCGATAGAGGGTACCTTCTACCTTCCATAAATTAAAATTTCCTCATAAAGAAAAGTTTATTATAAAACTTTAAAGATTTTGAATTGGAATATATAGGTTTATTTAAATCTCACTGAGAGGCGGTGAGCTCGACGTCAACATCAGCGGATTTAGGTTTGGGCCTACGAGGCCTGAGCGTAGGGTGGTAAAATTTGTGGGACGTCAAAATTTTAAAATTATTCTATTTTATAAAACCGTTTTTGATTTCTGTCTAATATAAGATTTAATTTCCTGCCTTTTTCAATGACCCGTTGTCATGTCCTATTAAAAATCCTTGAATTCGCAAAAAAATTGTGGGTTACTCATGGGCAAAAAAACTATCCTATCTCTCAAGTTGAACCAAACTGCACACGGTGTGCAAATTTGATCAAAATCGGTTGAGCTTAAGTAGGAGTCCATCGCGGACAAACAACGTGACACGTAATTTACATATATGAAGATAGTTAATAGTTATTTCAAAGGTATAATAATTATAATATAGGCGGTATCATACCAGTGCCTGGGCCTAGGGCTTAATTCCATTGATGGTGGTATACAAGCCTTCAACGGTAGACAAGTCCACCATCTACTATACAAGTAGTTTTTTTAGTGCACTATAATTAATTATTGTGATGTGTGTATATATGTATTTCTAGGACATTTTCCCAATTCTTTTTGTAATTTTTGTGAATTGATCAATTTTATTTTGAGTTAAAACTTGTGTGGTCTATACTATATATTTTATCTTCCATGTGCGAATTATTTCCGATGGCTATGTTGATTTTAAATTTTCCAATAAGTGAAAAAACAATAAATAAAGTAGGTACCTACTAATAGAAAAGTCAATCGCATTGGTTTTTGGTCAGAGTGAAATACCAGGCTATTACGTCGTAACGCAACGTAAATGTCCTAGAAATACATATGTACACATATGTATTTCTAGGACATTTTCCCAATTCTTTTTGTAATTTTTGTGAAATGATCAATTTTATTTTGAGTTAAAGCTTGTGTGGTCTATACTATATATTTTATCTTCCATGTGCGAATTATTTCCGATGGCTATGTTGATTTTAAATTTTGTAATAAGTGAAAAAACAATAAATAAAGTAGGTACCTACCTACTAATAGAAAAGTCAATCGCATGGGTTTTTGGACAGAGTGAAATACCAGGCTATTACGTCATCGGTATTGGGTATATACGCCGTGGTCGGAAAGCCGCTTTAATAAGAAAATTATTTATTTATTATTTTACAAATAAATAAATAAATATCGGGTAACAGAAGTATCGGGAGTACGCTAGCATTAAAAAAGCACAAATTAATAGCATAGAAACTTCGCCAATTGTATTTCATTTAATTGAAAATAAGTTTAAATAATTAATTACCTCAATGTTGGCGACGTTGATGAATCAGCTAATTGGGTTCTTGTTCCAGACATGTTCTATTTATTTTAGATTACTGTTAAAATTAAATGTAGAGTAATGCGTCAATGCCGCTACTCACACAAAATCCAATAATGTACTGGCAAAGGACAATTTTAGCGAAATAAATTTATACTACGAAGGGCGGGAATTTTATATTGAGGGTACGACTAAGCGTGTAAGGGTGTTTATTGTTTGCAATCGATTTTAGAGTGTACATCAAAGGCACAGTATTCACTTTAGATTATCTCAAAATGCGCCTGTGAGCTCGTGACCTCAACCCCTGACGAATGGGCGTTTCTCTCAATACTAAAAGGGGATGGGCTTTCGTACGATTTCGGGGTAAAGCGGAGGAAATGTTATTTTTTTAAATAGAAAATTAAATTTTTTTTTCTTTAAATGAAATATCATTTGTCAAAATATAAAATTTTAAATTGAAAATTTATGAGCAGCGTCAATGGTTTCGAGACAATAATCACTTAAAATTTAAAAGGAAACTCTAATACATTTATTTGATTAGAATTTTTTCGTCGTATATACACTGAAAATATTTTCTCACATCATAGGTAACCTTTATTATATACAGGATGTTTTATTGATATATTAATACATAACTTATATTTATTGATACTTAACGATTTATGCTGTGGAACTCATACTTATTTAGAATGTTGTAATAAATGAAAATTATAAAGCTAAATGTTGCTGAATAAAACGTTGCAGCAATTTCCCCGCCCGTCAATTTCCGTCGGGCGCTAGGAGCGTGAAGCGGATCAATGCTGAACACTTCTCTCCTATTGGACAGCTAACGAGTGCTTTTGACAGCTGTACAACGCACGCCTAGTTTCAAGAGCTATGTCTAGAGCACCCTTACTCGACGGACGAAGAAATAAATATTTCCCAGCTCGAAGCGTCTTTCGTAACCATTTAAACTTCAAATATTTATTAAAACATATATAAGTTTTCTATTACCAAGTGTTTGGCCGACCAAAAAAGAAAGCGTCTTTTTGGCTAATTTGGGGGTGTGGACGAATTAATCTCATTTTAATTTCAAAACTGTACGACTTGCATCCATTTAAAAATGCAATCTAAGAGTTTAAAATTACATAATCTTATTAAGATACTTTCATTACAATTTACTAAGTACTTTGTTTTTTGTAAACAGTCAAAATCCGGGATATTTTAGCATTTTTCATGATCCGCCTTCACCATGGTTTCTCAGAGTGGGGTACGCGAACCTTCAGGTGTTCACCACTTGATCGTAGGCCATACATCGTCTACTTTATAAAGATAGAAAATTACATCAGCCTGCTTGCACTCGTAAAAGAGTTGCCGCGCTTCTTATACCAGTAACTAATTTCTGTAAAATTGAAAACTCAAGTCTATAATCTGAAATGTTCCAATGCTCTAGAAATTCGTGTAGGTATATACTGTATCATTTGCACTAGGAAATCACCCGCCAATGATCACCTAAGACAATGATGATGGCCGTGATCGCGCTTTCTGGCATTCCTTGGAGAATATCTGTAGTTCAATAGTAGAGTTGTGATGGTCTGTAAGGATGGTGATAATAAATATTTGCTATTCTAATTGCTTCACGCTGAGTTCACGTGAGTCTTTAAGCATGGTCCTGTGACATCTGCGTCCATCAACTTTCTAGCATCTCATCTATACCATGTCTTCTAATGACAGTTTTTAATTAAAATTCGAAATATCTATTATTGATAGTTTTATTCTTTCAATAAAAAACATAAATATTTATTTTTGTAAAATCTATTTCTATTTTCTACGTGCCTCATCCAGGGGACTCGCAAAATTTATCTAGTGGTCTTGGTTCTCTAAATTGGGTGCCAGTTTCTAATTGGAGCAGGGTCTCAAAAGATGAAATTTTTGGAGCAGGTTTTTGCCAAGATGTACATAGTACCACAATACAAAACTGCAACAATTGCTTCGAAATGGATTCACAATAAGGAGCTTATTGATTGATTGATTGAGTTTTGCCCACTTTATATTTTTTTAGATTTATAGTGTTCGGTCCCTTATTACTTATAATAGTGCTGTATATTGTAAGTGGAATACTTATTGGATGATCCTTTTTACAGTCTGAAAGAAAATAGGATGTAACAGGTGAACGGAATAGAAGCCTATGGCACTGATATTTTACATTTTTTTTTATATTAACGTATTATGAAATTGATCTATGAATAACTGGTTGGGTGCGTATTATTTTAATTTCGATAGTTTTTAATTGGTTTATTTATTTAGTTCAACATTTTTGTTTTTATTTTTTAGGTACCGAAAGTTTATTTCAAATGAATAAGATCATCGTTAGTGTTGGCAACCCTATGAGAGAATATTTTTGCTAAATACACTATTTCTTGATTTTTCCATGGTGTTTCTGCATAAATGTTCTGATATGATATATAGATATATTTACGTGTCCTTAACCACGCATCGGACTGTCTCCTTGAATCTCACCTCTCCATGGATTGATTGGCAGAAATGCATATAGAGATGGATTCCGCCCTTGTGTCCTTTCATATTACAAGCCAGTACTAGAGCACAATCGCACATTGATTATTACGGCAAGAGGACGAGAAAATACATAGACCACGTATTTTCAATGAGATATTTTCTGAAAATGAATGTGGTAATAAAGAAATATTTAAAAAGAAGTTGAAAGCGTGGTTGCTGGATAATTATATGTGTAATAATTAATATTGTCTTAATTTAAGTTACAGTTAAAAATTAATTTGATTTTAAATGTGTTTAATGAGTTTAAGTAATAATCAGGTTACATATAATAAGGTATGTAACAGTAGTAACAGCGTTTAGTTTTAATTATTTTAAATCTTTTAAATTAGTGTTAATTTAATTTTCTTATTTTAAGTTTCTAAAGGACCGCATTTTAAATTACAGCAAGTACAGTGTATGTGCATTTTAAGTTCTTAAGGATCATAAAATTTACAGGCACATATAATGTAAGAGGATGATGTATTCGCCAACAAATTGCCCTGCAGTTTGGCGAAAGTTGTATAAAGAACAACCGACTGTATTTTTGTGTAATAAATAAATTAATTGTGTTTAGTGGTGATGCAGCCCTAGATGGTAAATCGCACTGTCTTAGCGTAACAAAAGCCTATTCACTCTTGCTTTGAAAACGCTCAGGTTGTTTCAGACGGAAAGACAGAGGCCAGCAAATTATTCCACTCTTTTGCTGTACGTATTAGTACTGCTGAGCTTACAAAAAAATAAGTAAACCGGTTGGTTCTTTTGCGTGGAATATCGACTACAAAGGGATGAAGACACGCCTACCGCCTGGTTGTCCGATGGTGGAAAGCAGAGGGAGGCATTAAATCGTGTAATTCCTGCGACACTCACCGAAATGCGTCCTATAGAATAATACTGAGAGGCTGACAACTTTGGTGGTCTTACGAGGTAGAGCCATGCTGCGGTTATATTAGTAGTATAGTTGTAGCACAAATGGGTCGGCTCGACCGGGGAAGGACCACGCTCTCACAGAATACCAGCGTAAAGTAGTAGCTTAATGCTGGTGTGTTTCGTATGGTGAGTATAGAGAACCGGAGACCCTTTTTATTGAAAACGAGGCATTCCATCTAAGTCCTCACTATGACAACGCATCTGCCTTTTTATTCGTAATCGAAGATAGAAGTAGATGTCTATGGGTCACAGCAACCACTTACTATCAGGTGGACTGTGTGCTCGTTTGTCATCTTATACTATAAAAAAATTGGTTTCAACCAAGTCAAGATCACCAATGAGCTTCTTAGCACGTCTCTTCACTGAATCCAACGCTACCAGGTGGCATTTTGCACCACTATCCTATATGTGACGTGACAGGAGTACTCCATGTAGGACCGGACTTGCGCTTTATAGAAGGTGAAAAGCTGCCCCGGCGTGAAGTATCGCCGCACCCTTGTAAGGACACCTAGTTTCCTTGCGGCCGCTTTGGTCCTGGACTCAATGAAGAGCCCATAGTTGAGGTTCAGAGAAATTCAACCCCTAACAACTGAAGGCGGTTAGTGCATTCCAAGGATACATTCCGGAAAGTAGGAGCCAGGGAGAGAGCTGGCTCTTTTAAGGGGTGAAAAGACGCGCTTGTGTTATGGTGGCGTTGAATCTTACAATATTGGCATCGACCCATTCGGAGACTGCCTGCAGTGAGAGATTCGCACATTCAAACATAGCCCTAGCAGACTAGCCCAAGCATTCGGCTGGTAGCTCTCCACAACTGTGCTGACGTCTGCATACCTATAGATACCGGGAATTAGCAGATGTTTGTTATACAGCAGGAAGAAGGTTGCGGAGAGAACGGACCCCTGAGGAACTCCGACGTTTGTCGCGATGGGACTAGACAAGCAGCCATAGATGCAGACTCGGAGATATTTATCTTATTTTTAAAGATTAAAAAAATATATTTCCGATAGTAACGCTTCAAATACGTGCGTGTATCGAGCCGGTGCGTTCGACGTGTATGACAAACACACAACTTTGCATTACGGCGTCATTTGTGTCCGAAGTGCCGGTTGGCGGCTGCTTAAAATGTATGCAAAACTTGTGGCAACGCCAAACACTCATCCGAACGCTCTGCACTCAGCTGTAATCTAGTATAATTACTGGTTGTGAGGCATTCCATCCTAGTCCTCAGAATTGTTGACGCATTTATAGCTTTCTTTGTTTGCAATTGACTGCAAGTGTATGGACAGCAGTTACCGTGTACCATTAGGTGGACTGTGAGCTCGTTTTCACTTCAGTTTTACAAAAATGTTTAAAGGTAATGGTAAGTCTAAGTCCTGAGTAGCGTCCGTTCGAGTTGTATGGGTAGCTACTAGGTGCTCTATCACGCCACGTGATGAGCCCTAATTCTTGGCCGATGTCTTAGACTAAAGGGCTATAGAGCGTAAAAGAAAAAAAAGAGTCATCTGATTACATTGCTCTGCAGCTGAACTTAAAGTACCTTGGTAAGACGTATAACAGGGTTTTTCTTTTACTTTGT